TGCGTTGGTCTCTGTAACGAGTTGTTTTCCTTGAATTAAGGGTAAGCAAAATTGTAGTAGAGTAGCATGAAAATGTAGACAACTGCTATGGCTAATGTAAACAGTGTTCTCAAAGACTGTTTGAAATGAAATTTGTGGACATTTGAAACCCATGCTCAATTACTGGCATAAATCAGATATTTTTCAATAAATATATTAAAATTTTGTTCTCTATGTCATTAATAATCAAATAACTGTATTGGTTCCATTAAAAATAGCATTTTTTTTCAACGTAAATTATTGTCAACATAAATCTCAAAAGAATAAAAAAAAATACTGTTCTAGACCATGAAATAAGAATGGACTTCATTAATTCTCTTGTGTCTAATATATTGGAACACCCAAAATGGTTACTCTGACACAGAGAAAAGAGTAAAAATACATACCTGTGGAAAGTATGACTGGAGAGAGACAGGATAATAGCAACATACAAATTTTCAACAGGTTCATGGGCAGTTACCTTCCTGTGTTCCCTAAGCCACATACACATTAGGCTGTCCCCAAAGCACACGCTGGGCCACATGCAATGTCATTATCTTGGATTCTTCGTCCTGCTACGGCATGCTGGGAGTGGGATCTATAAAGAGATTATTTAAAAAGGGATATTACATATAAACTCCAGTGAGTTGCAAATGGTTGATAAAGCATGAAGTAGTCCCTCATTAAGAGATGTTTACATTTTAAGATGGAGCAAAGTGCCTATTTGGTATAAGCCAAAAAATTGGGATATAATTTTGACATTTTGAACACCAGAGAGTAGGATAAGTAGGTCACTGTTTAAGCAAGGGGACTCTCCAGTGGGTTTGAAATTATAGGTATAACTTCCCTTCGCCACTTTGAGTGGACTCTTAATTTTTGCAGTAAGGATCCTGGGAAAGCTATCACCTCATTAAAATAAAAGCACCAAACTACATAGGATTTAGCCACCATGATGGTGAAGAACCACAGTTAGGATTTTGGAAAACAAATAGGTTTTGCTTACTGCTGGAATGGTTTAAAATTGCTTTTGGTGAGTATAGTTCAATTTTGTCCATTTTGTTGGTAGGTTATAAAGACCTAAGAAAATTGCGTTTCGTTCCTATCTCCTTAGGTTATGTCCTCTGCCCAGGTTTGAATGAAGTAAGACTTTCTTCTTCAGCACTGTTAGAAATTATATTCAGAGTAGGAGGACAAATTACTTGGGCTCTCTTTGCATGTCAGAGAATTACCGTCTGAAATAATGGCATCCAAATGACTGCAATGGCCCCTCATTATTCCTGACAGCCAGATCCTCTACGAAGTCAGGATTCAGTCACTCCTTGGAGGTTTGCATGGATCTGGCTCCTAGGAACACTTCCAGTATGATTCATTGTGTTTAGTTATGCAGCTCTCACAACCGTGCGATTCCTTTCTGCAGAGACACATATAACTCCCATTAATGTCAGTGGGGCTGAAGCTCATATTTCAAGGGAATCTAAAACTTGTCAAGGGTGAGAGGACATTTTAGTTTTTCATGCTTTGATTTAGCTCTTCTCTGGCAATTTTGATACCTCTGATAGTTTTCCTTTTCTTTCCATTTGTTAATATGTTACAGAAAATTAACTGTCCCAAGAACATAAAGTAAGTGGCAGTCCCAGAAGTCAGCCTCTCTCTCTCTCTGTCTCCCTCTCTCTGTCTGTCTCTCTCTCTCATCAAAGCATATTTATTTAAGTGGATTTCCTTCACATTTCCTTCTCATTGCTCTTTAGGTCAGTGTCCCAACCATTTCTTAGTTCTGTTACTCATTCCAAACTCTCGCTCCTAGAGGAAATATTGCCACCATCTTCCAGTTTATTCTGTCCAATTTATTTTAAAATGATTCAGTTCTGTCTTTTGATATAACACAGAATCTTGGCTTAAATCTTTAGAAAGACGATGTATTTTAATTCTTTAGTTTACATTAACCTTGAGACTATCAGGTAAAGGTTAAGAAAAAGTTTGTCTCAGTGTCATAAAAATTTTTTTTTCTAGACTCAAAAGTTGATCTCTATAATTTTGATATTATTTAGTTCTCTCATAACTTATGAAGTCACAAAGTTAAATTATTATAAAAACATAGCCAAAAAATATAAATTCTCCTTTCTCCAAAGTCCCTTAGCTTTTAAGAGAAGACTTGAAAATCACTGAAGCCAACTGCTCTGAAATCCATATAAATTCATAGATGGACTTCAGAGGATTTGAAAACTTTCATTAAATTGCTTGTGAAATTTCATCTATGGTCATTTTGTCAGAGAAAGGGTTCAGACCTTACAAATGGATTCATTACTTTTTAAAAAAATTGTTAACCATCCTATTACAAATGCATTCCAAGTTTCCTATGGCGACAGCCTTGATTCTAATTTTCCTGAAAAGTGGATGACATGTAAAAATTTGATGAATCTTTAAAGTTCTCCTCATCCGACCTCATGCTTTTGCCACCCGATAAGCTATCTCTATATCTCTTAACGGAGACCCAACAATTATGGCATCCTCCAACTATCAGTTCCTAGTTATTATGATTCATGGTGGGGCTAGCTCATTTCAAGATATCAAAGCTGTAACCCTTTGGTCCTCTCTGCCAGATGACTAGAGATTCAGCAAATCCAGTGAAGCATGGACCTAGCCCATCCCTGCCCAATAACAAGATGGTCACTGGATTCACTCTACTCAGTTCACACTGATATGCCTTATTATAATTCCAATATTATGCATTTAAGCAAAAAGGGTTTATCTGAATATAACTCATGCTGTGGATAAACACAAACAGATTTATCTAGTTAAACTAATTATTACTAACTCTAGGTTTCTTTATTTTCTAAAATCTTATTTAACCTATACTCTCTATCATCAATTGTCTGGTAATCTGTTAAATCTGGAGTTCCACACTGGTGGTCAGTAATAGTTCACTAGATACGGGTTACTAGGGTAATATCTCAATATAGTACTTATTTTCTAGGTTTTGATATGTTACTTTCATTTGCTCTGTTATTTGTGTTGCAGAAAATTTGCAAACTCTCTTTACAACTTATTTATTATTTAATTAATCCCTTATGAAGTCAGTTTCTCTTTGCATTCTCTCTCCTGTGTACTTTCTGTACACTTTTTCTTTCTTGCACCCTATAATCTGGCCATTGCTTCCTCTAATATTTGCTCACTTCTTCTAGGTCCTATGCCTTCACAAGGGTCCTATGTTGTTGGCTCTTTCTGTGTCCTTTCCATTGAGTCACTGACTTCATACCTTTGAAGCTATTATCATTCCCACTAGGTATTGCTCATGGTAGTTCACTGTTTTCCATTTTATTTGTAACTGTTGATTGGTTCTTCCTGATAGGAGAAATTGTTTCTGTATTTATTGCTTCTTTTCATTGAAGCACTCGGAGATTAGCAAAGCTATTATATACTTCAAAGATATCTACCATGCCTCCAAGTTCCTGTTTGTATGTGTATGTGTGCATTTATTCCATTCAACAGACACTAATGTGTTAGGCACTGTGCAAGCTCCAGGAGGTATAAAGTTAAATGTGTCATGAACCTGCCCTTGAAGGGCTTACAGTCTAACAGGAGAATAGCTTTGCCTTTAAACTTTTACTGAATAATGCACTTAAATTAGGTTTGTGCCGTCTAGCACTAGTAAATCACTTTATTTTCATTTTTCTTCAGAGTTTTGACACTGTTTATGTTTAGTGTGACTAGAATTATGATCCATAAGAAGAGCATTTTTCATGTTATAGAAAAACTTTCTTTTTTCTTCTATGTTGCATTTTCATAGCTACAACCCTGGACACCTGTTTCCATTCCTGTTGTTGCCTCAGAGTTTTTTCGTCCTGGATTTCTTATTTTGTCAGAGTTCTGGGAGGCATTCCTCAGTCCTTTTTACTTTTTTCTTTTTACCTTCTCTTCAGTCTGAAACACCAGCTTGCATTTGTAACACACAACATTGATGAGTACCTCAGAGAGAAAAGCAAACATAAAGCTCAGACTGCATGTTACGGCCATCATTCTGTTCCCTGGTGCTCATGCCTCTTGGGGAGAAAAGGAAAGCCACAGTTCTTTGTAATTCTCTCAGAAATTCTTCCTATTAAATGCCCAAAGCAAACTGCCTTTTGGCGATGCCTGTTTATCTCTGGGCTCCTGGGACCACTGTCTGGAAATCAGCCTGGATACGAGCCTGTGTTTCTTCGTATTGAGAAGAAATTTTCTTCTGCTAAAATGATAGCCTGAATAGTAATTGATAGTCTAGGTGTCTGTCTTCTTCAGATGTCAAACAGACAAGGAACTTTTGCTCAAATATTCTAGAAACATTTATTCACCTACCTATTCCAGTCATTTAAACTGGGAAAATTTATCCATATGTTATACAACCACCACGTGCCTGGTGAAGTGTCAGACCCTAGGAATGCAGAGATGTACAAGGCATGGCCTTTGCCTTCCAACGCCACACAAGAAAAATGGGGAAGACAGGTAGGCAAAGAGGAAGGTACAATAAAATTGTTAAATGTCACCCAGGACATAATTCTGCAGAAAAACAAGAGAAGTTACTTTATCTGCCTTTCTCCTTAATACTATCCACGTATAGGAAGAAACATGATATAATAAAAAGCTTCGATATAATACTAAACCGTGAAGTAAGATAGGTCTGGGGTTGAAACCAGGCCATGCCATTTACCAGCCGTGAGATCTTAGTAAGTCAAAACCTCTCTCAGCTAATTTTTTATCTGCAAAATAGGAATAATGAAAAGTATTTCTTGTAGTCATGAGAATTAAATGAATTATAGGATAGAATACAAAGCATTTGGCTTAATATGTAATAGATCCTCAATGAAATTCTTGTTGAACGAAGAAATGAATGACAGTCATTAACAGTCTCTGGTGAGCATATGACCATGACACATGGCAGAGTGTTTTGATGTCACAATGGTCTGAGTCTGAATCACAGCCCTCTCAGCTACTAGCTTTGTGATCATGGGTAAACAATTTTTCTGCCCTTCACCTTCCATATCTATGAAATAAGGACAATAATACTTACTAGACAGGTAAGAATTTATTAGAAATGCTTTAAAAAGTATAGTAAAACTTGTATAGTTCAGTTTTTTGTCAGAAGAACTGAAAAAGATAATGTACATAAATACAATTATCGTAATGCCTAGAATAGAGTGAACATTCAACAAATATTAATAATTTTGATGCCATATAAATTTTCCTAAGATTTAAAAATTTTGAAAATAGTAAAAACTTCCAACTGGAAAACTAGTAACCCACTTACTCATTGTCTGTTTACAAATTGTAACTGTTCTCCAGAGTATACAAGGCTGTAAGACAGTTACATAAATAGAATTCACTGTATTTTCAAAGGATATCAATTATTCTTAGGATTCACTTTTCCCGACACCCCCAATATCTAGTATACATTATCCTGCCTTAATTTTCATTTGCCCCATGGAATTTTTTCGCATTATATATTATGTCTATAATCTTGGTTAAATATTCGAAGGTCAAAATAAATTTTATTTGGTAATTTAGTCTCATTTTTTCCAAACTTTAGGCATTCCAAATTATATATGGCTTTCTCTTAGGCATTACATGTTTTCCTTTCAATTTGGATTCCCTGGATTGGTACCAGAGGTACTACTTTCCATTTAAATTATTTCTGTCAGCACTAGGACTCTGTCATGTGAATGTATTATGTGTCACCAACATTTTTGATCCCTTACATGAGCTCCATGGGTGGAAGGTGTTGTGTTATTTATAAAATCCTAGGCCCAGAACAATGCCAGACATATCGTAGATGGCTAAAAATATATTTGTTGAATAAAAGAATGAATGTATTTATGGAAAAAGAATATGCTCCCGGTTTCCTGTTTTAACCATTCACAATTATATAATGCATTTTGTGAACTATAGGAGTTTTATTATACTTTTATTAAGCATTTCTAATAAATGCTTATTTTTTTCTTATCAATCTTGTAAAAAGTTTGTTAATTTACTAATCTGTTCAAAGAAATAAATTTTGACTTAGAAATTTTTTTTTTCTTTTTTGTTTATTTATGTTCTTTCCTTTACTATTAACTTCCTTCAAATCACTTTGGGTTTTGTTTATTCTTCCTTTTCCAGATTATGTAGAAACTTAGATTTTTATTTTCAAACAATTTTTCTTTTCTCATATATACATTGAAAGCAAATTTCTCTTTACGTTTTAGCTGGATCCCACAAATTTAGCTATGTTGTTCTAATATAGATATGTAGCATATATTATATATATATATTACTTATATATATGTTTTCCTAATATAATTTTTAATATTATGTTTTGTTTCTTGCATTGAGTTTTAGATATATTTATTTATATAATTTTTAATGCTATTTAGAAATTATAATATATACTTTTAACTTCTCATTGCCTCCTTAAAATTAATATACTAGTTTATGTAAAATGTAAGAACCTTGTGGCAGAGTAATCCCTCCCATTCTCTATCCTTTGTGTTATTGTTGTCATCTATTTTTTATTTCTACATACATTATATAATATATCTCATAATAAATGTTCTTCCTTTAAAATATCTTAATTTGTAAAGAAATAAAGAAAAATAGTCCTTTTCATTTACCCACATATTGACCATTTTCGGCATTCTTAATTCTCATAATTATCAGTTTTTATCTAATAATATTTGTGTTCAGCATGAAAAATTACCTTTAGCATTTCCTCTAGTGTAGATATGCTGGCAGCAAATTTTCTCAGCTGTTATTCAACCGAATATCTCTTTGTTTCACTATCATTCATGAAGGAGAGAGATTTCTGGCTATACACTTCTACTTCCATCACTTTAAATATGTTGTTTTATAGGCTCCTGGCTGCCATTGCTTTTAATGGAAGCCACCATTTGTACCATTGTTCATTACATATCACATATGTTATATTTTCTGAATACTTTTAAAACTTTTTTATTTATTTCAGCATAATATGGGGGTACAAATGTTAAGGTTACATGCATTGCTATTGCTTTCCCTCCTCCCTCGAGTCAGAGCTTCAAGCGTGCCCATGCCCCTGACAATGCACAACGCACTTATAATGTATATATAAACCCATCCCCTCCCCCCCCACCTGCCCAACACCTGATAAATGTTTTTTGGTTGGTTTTTGTAATAAAATTTTGGTTAGATTTTATAATTTTGCCTTTACTTAGCAAAAGTTAGAGGTATGCCCTTCCCCTCCACACTGTTCACCGCGTCTCTCAGATGTTGGTCTATCCCTTGACCCCCCAAATCTCTGGTGAACACCACCACCCTTTGAGCACCATATTGAAAAACAGTCAGTATCAATGTGATGGTGAGTACATATGGAGCCCATTTATTTGATCTTGTGTCACCTTGCTTTGGATCCGAACATTTTTGGCAACACAACTCACTATTGCAAGAACGTGGAAACAACCCAAGTGCCCGTCAATTTGTGACTGGATAATTAAAATTTGGTATATGTTTACAATGGAATATTACTCAATTCTAAGAAATGACAGCAAGCTAACACCGCTTATATTATCCTGGATTGAGCGTAAGCCCATTATCCAAAGTGAGGTGACATCTTTAAAACTTTTATCTTTTGTGTTCCATAGTATAACTATGATATGCTTAGATGTGGTGGTGTTCATAGGCTGAGCATTCAAAGACAGACTGTATAACGACAGTAAGGACTCCTTCTTCACCATGACTTAGCACAAAGAAAATAAAACACAATAGTCTTATTTTAACTAAAAAGAAAACAAAGCTTAATAGAGTCAATAGGATATACTAGCAATTTAACCAAATGTCAGAACAAATTCAGCACCTTTCTTGCTGGGCTAGACCACTAACTTCTCCCAGCAGTTCATGGCTCTGGGATTTCTGTAGGGGAATCAGCTGCTCTCTGCTGGGCCTGACAGTCTTGTTTGTGCACATGCGGACCAGCGTTCAGCTAGGGTCATTCAGAGAAACCCTGTGCCATCTTCTGGGACACCATTTGCATGACTCCCTTTTCTCTGGTATCCTGCTCCACAAATTCCAGTAGTTTCCACAGTCACAAAGCGCAACCTGCCTCTCAGCCCCGAGGCTCAGAGAGATGCCTGCTCTCTACTTGCACTCCACCTCCCTGTTCTCGGATTGGGGAAGTACTGCCAGGCAAACACTGGTACAAAATGAGTCACTCTTTTATTTTCATTCTCTCAAATGCCACAGTCCTCTGACTCTGAAGGTCCAATGTGTGAAAATAATTGTCTTGCATTGTTTTCCAGTTTCATACTTACTTACAACTTGCTTAGGGTAAGTTCAATACCAGTTATCCAATGGTGGCCAAAATGGAAGCTCTTCTTTGTTTCTTTGGAAACTCAGGCAATGTCTAATGTATAGCCGAGGTAGAGAAACACTGCCACGGTTCCTGAATGGTGGAGAGGCTGCTACTACTCTTGTCAGCTGCATACTGCCAGGTGTTGGAGCCCAGGGCAGGAAGACAGTTTACCAGAGAGGAGGTGCCAAGGGGAGGAGTATCCAGTTGTCCTTTCCTGGAAGTCTTTTTCCAGGAGATAAATTTCTGAGACAACATGGTAGAGTCAGCTGTTATCCCCGACCCCTGGCCTGTTTGGGAACAGGAGGCAAAGCTCCACCACTGCCCCTCACCCCTACCCCATCCCCCACCACGTCTGTGGAAAAATTGTCTTCTGTGAAACTCAGGAACTGACTATAGAGTAGGAGGTGAGCAGCGGGCAAGTGAGTGAAGCTTCATCTGTATTTTCAGCGGCTCCCCATCATTCGAATCACCGCCTGAGCTCTGTGGGAAAATTGTCTTCCATAAAATCGGTCCCTGGTGCCAAAAATGTTGGGGACTGCTGGTATAGTGAATACTCCTTCAGTGTAAAGAAGCTTAACTTTTAGTTCCAGCTCAGCCAATAGTTATTGGATGTTCATCGTTTAGCTTGTTTCTCTACAGCCACACACACAGAGAATTGGATACAGAATACTTAAGTTTCCTTCTATCATCTAAGAGTCTGAGAACCACAAATATTATGTTATCTAATGACTCCCACAACCAAGTGACATTTCAAAAAGTCAGTGTCTTATAAAAAGAAAAACCCAAAACCTCATGGACTGGACTCATATGCCTCATAAAAATGATAAAATATAAGTTAAATGGGCCTATAAGAGGCTACAGAAGTTGTAATATATTGCCAAGAACTCTTTGCTAAATTTCATGGTTTTCCAAAGCAGCACACTAGCAGAATCCCAAGTAACTGAGATGATCAGATAGTTGAAAGACCTATTTTCCACTCTCAAATCTGTTCTACTGTTAAGAAGACTAGTGAATCAATTTTTTGTTGTTGTTTTTTTTTTGTTTTTTTCTTTTCATTTTTGTTTTCTATTTCAGCATATTATGGGGGTACAAATGTTTAGGTTACATATATTGCCTTTGCCCCACCTGAGTCAGAGCTTCAAGTGTGTCCATCCCCCAGATGGTGCACACCACACCCATTAGGTGTGAATATACACATCCCCTCCTCCCTCCTCCACCTGCTGGACACCTGATGAATGTTACTACTATACATGCACATAGTTAAATGACTATAGCTAAATGAAACCATGGGCAATGAAGAAAAAGGGAATGTGCAAAACAATTTTTAAACTTTAAACAAATTAATTTCTTTAAAGGCATAGTACTTGCCACTTTGTACCTATCATTGCACCCATGCACTTTCTTATCAAATATCTATATTAAAATAATAAAGTTTTCTTGTTTTATTCAATATCTATATTGTAAGTTACTTAAGGACTAATGACTGAATCTCTCCCATGAGCAATAGAACTGGTTCTTGGGCTCAGGTTTCTGAGAGTTATAATCTATTTCCAAGGAGAAAATAGCCTAGAAACTCTAGTTAGGTAAAATTTTGGGTATATGTTGAGTTGGAAAAACATATTTGTCTTTTAAACCATGACCTTAATGACAAGACTAAGATTCTAACAGAAAGTTTAAGCTGGGATTCTGTGCATCCTTGTCTTTTAAAAGTTCTGATTT